CAGTGTTGGGGAATTGGGGAAGGGGAACAGCCAAGTTGTTGTCCTTCAATCTTAGTTGTGGAGGGCGCAGCTAGCTCAGCTCCAAGTCCAGTCACCATCCAGCTGCCCGTCGGCAACTTGCAGCCACTCAGCTCAAGGTGCTGTGTTCAATCTTAGTTGCAAGTGGGCGTAGAGCACCATCCCATGCAGGAGTCAAACCGGAAAACTTGTTGTTAAGAGCTCATGCTCTAACCACTGAGCTATCCGGCTGCCCGTCGGCAGCTGGCAGCTCAGGGCAGCTCATCTCAAGCTGGTGTGTTCAATCTTAGTTGTAGGTGGGCGTAGCCACCATCCCATGCAGGAGTCGAACCGGCAACCTTGTTGTTAGGATCACATGCTCTCACCAGTTGAGCCATCCTGCCAACTGTTGGCAGCTCAGCAGCAACTCAGCTCAGGCGCAGCTCACTGGCCCATGTGGGACTCAAATTGGTGACCCTGTTGCTCAGGGCTCGTGCTATTAACCAACTGAGCCACTCGGCCGGCCTTGAACTTGTTTCTGAAAAACACTTGTCTTTTGAATATAGCTCTCACCAAGAAGGCAGGATATTCTATTTCATTGTTGACAAATATTAGGCAACTTACTAACTGTTCTGTACCTTCATTTTTCCGTTGGTAAAATGGAGAGATGTCATGAAAAGGAGCATGATTTCTCAGAGAATAGGCCATGCTGTGGTAATAAATGAACCTCAAAATTTCCATGGCTTAACACAACAAAGTTAATTTTTTGCTCATAGGATGTTGATGAAAGTTGGTGACTTTCCAGGGTAACTGTCCTCCTTGTTGTGACCTATCAATTCAGGCTATTCCTATCACAAAAACATGTGACATTCATCTCAACGTGTAGTCTCCAGGACCTTCAGAGCAGAGAAGAAAAGAGCTGGAGTGTAGCACTCTCTCCTAAATGCTTCTTCCTAGAAGTGGCACCTTTCTCCTTCCAGCCCACTGGCCAGAACCAATCACGTGACCCTGCCTAATTGTAAGTAGGATGGAAAATCTGGGAGACAACATGGATATTCTATCAACACTAAATATCTCAGTGAATTTTCTGGTAAAATAAACATTCAAATTTAGGTTCCACTTTTATATTCTCTCATAGCACTCTTACTTCCCTTTCTAAGAGTTATAATTGCAATTATATTAATTCCTAATATCTTATTGTCTGTTTAGTTATTTGTCTCTCCCAATACTTCACATTGGCTGAGATCCTCTGTCTGATTCATAGTTGTATTCCCAGTGCTTAGCACAGTGCTTGGCATATAATATGGTAGTTTGTCAAGTTTACTGCTATATTTGTTAAGTGAATGAATATCTAATCTATATTGCTTTGACCTACAGTGGGGAAGAGACTTATGTAAGTGAGTGATAAATAGGTGCTTTTGAAGATTGAAAATAGGATGTCAGCACTTACATTATCAATAATGTGATAGAGTCATGGTAGACTTCATTTGCAGTTATACTTTTTTTCCTTCAGCCATTCAACATCTATTATTTCTCTGATTGCATAAAAAATGTTGACATTTTCTCTTTAATATTTTGGAAAACTATTGATAAAATTTTTATCAATCATTTGAAAAAGTTGATATAGAAAATCTACTGCAACAATTTTAGATTTCCTAATTCATCTGCATTTATATTGCTACATATTTTCTCAGTTTTCATCATTCTTTTTTTTTTTCTTTTAACTCCTTTGGGTATTACTAGAGAATCTACATAGGTTTTTCTCTACCCCTAGGGTTTTTATTTTTCAGAAAGAGCATTTGCATTAAATAGTAATTGATTCTGAATTTTCTATTTTGCCTGTTAGTACCATGTGGAAGGCATGAAATTCCGTAAAACTGTAATTTAAAAAAACCCCTATGGTTATATATCTTTCAAGATGGGAAAAGGATTATTGAAAATCTATTCTGCACCCGCTTTCCCCATAAATCTTGTGGCATTTAAAAATCACCTTCTTTATGATCAAGTATTTTATCTCTGGTGTCTGAAGAGTCCTTGTGAATATTGTATTTTTGTTTCTTAGAAAAGAGCAAAGAATTAGGCTGTTCTCTTGCTGTTTAAAAAAGTGATTTCCTCCCAGAACAGAATGTTTAGGGGAGATAAGAGTTTTCAACCTCAAAGCTATATTTCAGTCAGAGACTCAATGTCTGGATCATTAGATACAAGCAGAATGATAAAGATGTCTTGCCCGAGTTACATTCAGGGGAAAAGATAATGCTGGCCTTAAATTAGACCAGGGATGCACTTCAGACCAGTTTTTAAAGACTTGGTAATAAGCCATTCTAAGCTTGATACATTCTGTTGCTGAAAAGTCCCCTTTAAACCCTCAGTAAGACATTTTAATTCCTTTGAAGTCATGGGTGATTTGAAATTGATTCATTCCTTATTAACCTTACCTAGTAGTTCTACAGGTACTGTAAAAATGAATAAACAACCCAGTGCTGGTGTCAGCCTGACCAGCGTGTGCCCACCACTTCACTTCCTTTTTTTCCAGATGGTCTTGCAGGCCAGCCACCTGGGCGCCTGCCAGCACTGATGGCTATTGGAAATGGACCAAACTTCATACATCAGAGGATCTAAGAAGCAGACTGCATTCCATTGTTCAAGTTTTTCTCTTTAAATTCATCTTCCCTTATGGGCCATATGTTGTTTTGCCTGTCTGCAAGTATTATTCCTGTCTTTTCGTTCTTTGAAAGGCTCAGTAATATTTTGGGGGAAATAGTGTGTTGGCTTAAATAAGCTTTTTATTATGAATAGAAGTAGAGATATATTTTCCTTGGCCTGGCTTGGACACACTATTGTTTTCCCAATTATTTTTGTTACGTATTTTGGAAATTTAAAATTTTTTAAGTGACTGAAACTCAGATGCCAGCTGTCCCATGGACAACTTCTGTTCTCATTTCATGCAAACCTAGACACAGGACTCAGCACCATTATGCAGTCCCCAGAAAACCCACTTATAGGACTGTGGTGAATATGGTGAATTTGAATCCTTGTTCTGGTCATGGGACCTTTGATACGTAAATTAACCTCTCTAAGCCTCAGTTTCCTTATTTCTAAAATGGAGAGGCTGGGAATAGTACCCACCTCACAAAGTTGCTGTCAGGATCAAATAAAATAATTCGTGTTAAGTATTCAATAAATTGTGGCTGTTTATTAGTGCGCAATATAGATTTTGGAAGACTTTTTATTAAGTAAAATTTCAAACATGTATAAAAGTAGAGAGAAAAGTACAATGAAGCCCAAGTTACTCATTTCCCAGCTTCAAGGATTATCACTTTATGGTCAATCTGATTTCATCTTATTTTCCACTCCTTTCCCCAGTATTAATTTGAAGCAAATCACAGATTTTATATCTTTTTACCCATAAACAGTTTAGTATATGTTTCTACAAAATAAAGGCTTATATTTTTATTTTATTTTTTATTTTTTTGGCAGTGGGCACAGTTTATTCCGCTTTATGCAGACACTGTCCCACACTCTCAGGAGCTTAAAAATAATACATTGAAACACATGGCGTCTGTCCCCCTACATCCCCTGGAGACATAGAAAGACATTTGGCTGAATAAGCCTTATGTTTTCAAATAACTGTAATACCATTATCATATATTAAATTAAATAAAAATTCTTTAATATCATCAACTGTCAAGCCATGGTTCAAATTTCTGATTTTCTCCTAAAGATCATTATTACAAAAAATCATTTTACTTGTTTAAATCTGGATCCAATTAAGGTCTATATGTCTTGATTGTTGGTATGTCTCTTAAGTCTTTTTTTTCCAATTCTTATTTTATTTATTTTTAAACTTATTATAATTTTTTGGTGACTTAGAACTACGAAACGTATTCCTTCACAGTTCTGAGGTCCAGAAGTCCAGAACCAGTATTACTGGGCTGGAATCAAGCTGTTAGCTGGGTCCTGCTCCGTCTGGAAGCTCTAGGGGAGAGTCTGTCCCTTGTTTCTTCCAGGTTCTGGTGGCTCCAGCATTGGCAGTCTTGCCTGGTGGCCACATCACTTCAATCTCTGCCTCTGTCTTCACATCACCTTTTTGTTTCTGTGTCGGTCTGTGTAATCCCCCTGTCTTTTTCTTGTTAGGTATGTGTCTTTTAAGTCTTTTTTAATCCTCAGATTTCCTCATCCTCTCTGTTTTCCTCTTGCAATTTAAGTGTTGAAGAAACTGGTCACCCATTGTGTGTGGCATGTTTTCTTGTCTCCTATGTGTCTTGTGGACTGGTAGTTCGATCTTGAGGCTTTGTCAGATTCAGGTTAAAATTGTCAACAGGACCACTTCATAGGTCACGTGGTCCCTCCAAATGGGACCTGGTGTCCAGTTGTCTCTTTTTGCTAGCAGCCATTGGTGATTAATGCCTATATTCACTAATTCACTTGGGGTTGCAGAGTGATTCACTTGGAGTTGCAGAATGGTGATACTCTGATTCTGTCATTCATCATTTCTTTTTTTTTTTTTTTNTCTTAACCATCGCGCCACTCGGCCGGCCCGACACACAAAGTTTTGACTCAGAGTGTGGGTTGTTAACCATTTACCAGCACGTTGCTGCATGCCAGGCCTTCCCTTCTTAGCAATCGTTGCATCAGAGCTCAAGAATGAAATGTGTATTTTTAAAATCTAGTGTCTGTCTTCTCTGCTTAGACTATAAACTCCATAAAGGCAGAGAATATTTCTAGCTTACCCATAGCTGTTTCCTTAGAGCCTAGCCCAGTGTCTGGCATTTGGCAGGTGCTTGATAAATATTTTCTTAATGAATGGGTGGATGAATGAGGGAATTCAAATCCTAACTTTCATCTTTCTGCTGCCCAAGATTCCCTTACATTTTTTCTTACATTTAATATTATTTTAGTTAACATTGAATGGCAAATCTTGCAATTTCTTTTTTTTTGGTATCTTACAACGAATCCATAATGCTTATTTTTCTTTCTTCTGATAACAAAGCTTCTGATTAAATGGTATCAAAACAATGCATCCACTTCATTAATATTGTTTTATCTAAATGACTTTCATTAAACAACTCATTATGCAGTATAATGCAGCATTTTTCAAACTTTTTGTGTATAACACAAAGTAATAAATCCATATAAATTGCAACTCTAATGAATATGTACATATATGTGTATGTATGCATAATGCAATATATATGTGTGTATGTGTATTTATTTTATTTTATTATTTATTTATTTATTTATTTATTTATTTATTTTTAAAAATTTTTATTGGGGAATTGGGAGATGGGAACAGTGCTGGGGAATTGGGGGAAGGGGAACAGACAAGTTGCTGTCGTTTTGTTCTTCAGTCTAGTTATGGAGGACGTTGCTTCACTGGCCCAAGTAGGCACCATCATTGCGCTCTTCCCAGGCGAGGCACATCAGTCGCTGGCTTCTGGACGGCCGCTCACTGCAGCTGCTGGCTACATACAGTAGCCAATGGCAACCCACTGCCACAGGGGCTACAGCCTACGCCGGTGCCGGTGACTCACAGCAGTCCAGCTCCAGGTTGAGCTGTTGTTCAGCATTTTAGCTGTAGAGGGCAGTGTCACTGGCCCTCATATGTGGGATCTGAA